TCAGGGTGTGACACAGGGTTTCTACACCATTCACTCCTGCTTCGGTGGACACAACGAGGATTTCATCGCTAGCGGCAGTGAAGGTACTTTGGTTTATTCCTCAGCTTCTTTCTTCAGGTGCGTTTCATATGAATCGTTCTCACTCAGTCTTGCTGTCTCTCAGATCATAAGGTATATATTTGGCACAAGCGCAGCGAGCTGCCGATCATGGAGTTGACAGGACACACGCGCACAGTGAACTGTGTCAGCTGGAACCCCTGTATTCCCAGTCTTATGGCCAGCGCTTCTGATGACGGCACAGTCCGTATCTGGGGACCCGCACCCTTCCAGGGCGCACAAGAGCTGGACGGCCTCAATGGTACACACATGCTATCCAATCACAGAACAAACAGGAAGTGTAATTACACTGAGAGATAGAGCTTCCATTCTTCAGATTCATTGATGATAATACAAGCATCTATAATCTGAGTTTATTAAGTTTCAATAATGTTCTTAAAATCAGCATGACTTAATACACATTCCTTGTCTCATTGTGCGTGTATTATGCATTTAAAAAACATTGTCTTATTTTGACATTTTAAAAATGAAAATAAGATAAATTTAAAAAAATTTCCTGACTTCCAAATATCTGTCATATAGACAATTATACAAATATATTTATATATTTATATATTTTTTTTGGGGGAAATTTTTTTTTTTTTTTTAAATAGTGTTGTTATTTTTATAACAACAAAAATAACAATTACAATAATTATATAATAACAATTATAATTTAACTATATTGTTATACTTCCAACCACCTGCTGTATAAATCTCCTCACAATCCAGTATATTTTATAAATAAATTCATTAATTGGAACTTTTTTTCTTTCTTTTTTTTTTCAGATTTAAAAAAAAATGTTTTTGGAAAATATTGAGTTACTGAGTTATTTTATTGCAGCATTGCACCATTTTTTTTTTTACATGTGCTCTAATTGAATGTCCCGTTTCATGTTGAAATGCATGTTACAGAAATAAAATGTCTTGTGACTCCTTTTTTTATGTTGGATTTAAACAGTTTTGAAACACTATTTAACTACTTAGTTACAGTTTAATCTTATTTGAGGTTGTTGGACATTCAGCCAGTAGTGCATTACGTATCATTGAGTCATGAATGCAAAATCTAGCGTTGTCTTTGGTATAAGGAACAGAGACTATTTTGTCACTGTAATATTTCTAGAGAATGAGACTTACAAAAGCCCAATTGTTGTCAAACAAGTTTTTTCACTGTTCCGATGTGACTGAAGTTTTTGTACCAATGAATAGTTGCACTGTTTAGTCATAATTTAACAGGGATAGATTTTTATTTTGTTAGTGCAACACTCTCCTAAGGAACAGTCTGGAAAAAATCAAGTAACCATATCTTAATTTGTTTCAATGTGTTTTTGTGTTGTTTAGTTTTTTTTGTGTGCGAGTCTAAATCACTCTTATTTTATACACTATTGTTCAGAATTTTGTATTTTTTTTTTTTTAAATAAGTCTCTTTGTGCTCACCAAGGCTGCATTTATTTGATCAAAATTACAGTAAAAAACTGTAAAATAGCTAAATATGATTACAATTTAATATAACTGTTGTGTATTTGAATATATTGTAAAATGTAATTTATTCCTGTGATGCAGAGCTGAATTTTCAGCATCATTACTCCAGTCTTCAGTGTCACATGATCCTTCAGAAATCATTCTAATATGCTGATTTGCTGCTTTTGCAGAACAGTTGTGCTGCTTCATATTTTTGACAAATACAAACTTTAATAGAACGGCATTATTTGAAACAAATCTTTTGGAACATTATAAATGTCTGTACTGTATAATGTCTGTTTCGATGAATAAAAGTGGATTTTTCTCTCCTTTTCTCAGAGAGTTGCAGCAGTATGGACAGTTGATGGCAGCCCTGGAACAGATGACTTGTCGCATGGAAAAATGCGAAATCCAACAGAGAAAAACACGATTACAGCATTGTCCTCCTCCACAACGACGCACGAGTGCAAACGCGAAAGACATCCAGAGCCTGGCTTTCAAGAGTCCGGAGGCAGCAGAGACCCGACGCTGATCCGACCCGCTTCCATACCGACGGATCTGATCTCTTTCCCTCCACGGGATTCCCACGGCTGTTCCCATTGTTACCCTTTCATTAGTCCTGAAGACGAGAGCTGGAGCGCCCGGGCGGGTGTAATGTTCTTCTCTCTCTCTCGCTCTCGATCCTCCAGACGAAGCACTTTTAAAAAAAAGAAATACTAGTCCTAGCAATTCTCTCTTTCGTTCCTTTAGCAGTTGATCAGCTTGGGCTTTAGTGTTGATGATGGAGTGCTGTCGTTTTTCGGTTTAGTTTTTTAAATCTTTCAGAACACAAATGCATTGGTTTCAACCGGACTCCCACGCATCAGCAGGGGGTCAGAGGTCGCCGTTTCGATCTCTGTGAGTTTGAGTGTTCGACTGAATTCTGCTTCGGCCTGTAGCACAGCCGTGTGTGTTTGTATGTGAGTGTGTGAGTGTTCAAATGTGCCTAAAGTTGGTGTACGTTCGCATGTGGCACTGTTTTCACACCAGCGTGAGTGTGTCCCTTGTTTAGCCGTACGAATCATTTTAACAGCCCCAGAGACCTTCATCTGTGGAACAAAAACTTGAGAACCATTTTGTATTTTTTTCTCTTTTTTTTTTTTTTTTTAAAAGAAAGCTGTTAGAGAAGTTCCTTGTTTTCACCACTTACCTTAGAGGTGGCGTTCGGGAGAGAGACTTTGTTATATTAGTACAAAATTCAATTGACTTTGAGGGCGAAAACGCACAGCTTTAAACAGAAAGATACTGTGACACTCAAAGTGTCAATCAGATATTCGGCTCCTGATGAGGAGTTTTGTGGCGTATAAATGACCTATGCAGCAACGTTTGAGCTGAGAGCCCCGTATAATGTTTCTTGAAGCAGCCATACCAGCATTAGAATAAACCGTCTCTGACCGCACTACATATCCACGACGATTTCATCCTGTGCGCTAGTTCAGTTATGTCCACTCGGTCACGTTCCCTGAGCTGTTTACACCAAATATCCGGCTTTTGAATCCCATTTTTGGAGAGAAATATTTGCTATGGACTGATATTAAATGTTTGAAAAGAAATGCTTTTCTGCCTGTTTTTATGGAAGTTTTTGTTACTTTCTTTGGTTTACAATATTTCATTTTTGCTTTGTTTTTTTTTGGTCGACTTTATTCTCTGTATCATTATATTAAACTATAACCAGATAAATTGTCTCCTTTTTTTTATTTTTTTAATCTTTTATTTAAGCATTATTAGCATTCTTTCCATTTAAAAAAAATAGTTGCATTAACCATAGTTTTAATGACATCCACATATGCTTTCCGCAGTCATAAGATGGTGCTAAACCTTTGCCTCGCAGGTGGAAGTTCAATCGGAAATCCAAAGTATCCAGAAAAACACTTCTCTAAAGTTACATCACTTTATTATAGAGACATTTTCATCCTCGCCAACTTGACAGCTCGTGGAAATCAACATAAAGCAATTATTTGAGAGCAATTCATGGATGATTTTCCAGTTATTCAAGATATCGAATGGCTTTGAATTGGTCAGCAACATCTGCCTGTTTTGGTTTTCATTGAATTTTGCCTGTTTACTTGAGGACCGTTTTGTGCCATAAGCAAAAAAAAATTAGAATAAAATCTCCACAATAATTGGTCGCTGCTCGGACCAGGCTGATGCTTGTGCACTGTGACACATCTTTGCTGTTGATTTAGCTGATCTGAGAGCGGTTTCTTTGGCTATTCCTCCTCCTCGTCATTTTAAAGAACTAAAACTAGCCTGCTCGTTACAGCAGTGGACGTATTAGTAATGCGTATGATGATGGGGGTAGTATTGTTACTCTTGTACTGTGGGGTTTGTGTACTCTACTAACCATATGCAAGAGGGTCTCTCTTTTCCAGCTAGCTGCAGGTGTGTTGCTCTCATGTTCGACTGTGAATCAGACGTGTGAGAGGTTTCCTTCATGATAACTGCTCCTGTACGAAGGGCATCCATTTGCATTAAATGTGTTATTTCAAAAGTGATTGTACTGTTTTGTATTGTTGTGTAGGAGATGTGTTATGTATGCATATTTTCAATAAAGCATTCAGGGTTTTGAAACATAATGAAGCATTTCGTCTGGCCTGCATGGGTTAAACTGTGACCAATTCCTAACTCTTTACAGAATATTTGGTTACTTTTGTGAAAGAAAGTACTTCAAAAAGTGGTACCATGTAATAGTAATAGATGCAGATGGTACAGTAAAATTACCGTCATATACAATGATTTTTAAATGATACTAGAATCTAGACTACAAAGAATACTGCTTTTATAATACCATTAAGAAAGGAATTGATTTAATTTTTTTTGTAAACTAGTTAATTTTCTTTTTTTATTCTTGATTACATTTCTAGGTTGGTTTGTTACATTATTTTTATTATTTGAAAAAATTTTTATTAAAATAATATGTAAACTCAGATATAATTCCAATATAACAATAAAACTGATATAGTTAGAACAATAAACATTATTTACACAAAAATTACAAATAAAACAAAATGCATACATAAAACCCATAATGACAGTAATGATCAAAAGTAACTGTAAAAATAAAATAAATCTTATGTTTTTAATGTAATCATTTAATACAGAACATGGATTGCAGACCACTAAATAAATAATTCATTCATTCATAAACCAAAGATAAACAGCGAAAAAGAAAACGTACAAAATCACATAGGCTACATAAAATCCTACCAAATTAATAAATAAACGAACGAATAAATAAACAAACAAATAAATAATTTAATAACATTTTATAAAAAACACCAAAATGACAGCAAACAGCCCAAGTTTTAATAGCTTTTTTTGTTACATGTACAAAGTTTTAAAATAGATCCTCCTAAATAAGTTTTAAACGCGGCTTTGATTACGCGTGTTTGCGTGCCAGCGTCGCCCCGCCCCCTCCGTCCTCTAGTGCGTGCGCGTTCTCTGTGTACCGTCGTCCGGCACCGTCATGGCGGACCCGGTCGCTCCGCTCGATGAAGACTGGGAGGATTTTAACGAATTCAAAGCGGCTGATTCGCACAGCAGCTGGACCGCGGCACCGGAGAATTCACCGCAGACCCAAAGCTTCGCAGCCTTCGACGAGACGCTGAGCGCGAGCTTCCCGTACTCCAGCAGCGCGTGCACGAGCGTCTCTGTGAGCGCAGTGAGCGAGCGCGAGCTGCTGCGCGATGACGAGTGAGTGACAAAAACATACTCAAAATATTATAACATCTTGAAATATGTCATATAGTATTTCATATGTTTTACACAGTAAATACGTTTGTATAAATATACTCGCTCCAGTTTTAATTGCTCAAAGTAAATAACGCGATGTTGTGGTAGATTAGTGATCAGGTTTCATATATTTAGGCTGTGATTCTTTATTTACACTACAATAAAGTACCATAATTTACCATAGTAGTACTATGGTATTCTTGGAAATACCTTGGAGTACCATTTTTGTAAGGGCATTTTGAAAAAGTCATGTTAATTTCACAAAATCTTTCTGCTAAAAAGTACCGTGGTACTGCAACTTAAATTACTTAATTATCCATCCATAAATCCATTTAAAGATCCATATATATATATAAAATTGTTTTTGAAGAAATCATGTTAAAATGTGAGATGTGAGTATAATGCAACAGTGTTTAATGAATGTTTATTTGTTCATCTCTCAAACGTCATTATTGTATTGCATTGCATTATGTTTTGAAACTACAGGGCTTGGATCATAAAACTAAATATTAGTATCATCTTACTGAGACATTACTAAGAGATACAGTGTGTCATCTGATATTTATATTTTATATAAATTGTCTGCTATACTGTTTTCTAAATCTTATTGATTTTCATTACAAGCTAACAGAATTTAAGCTTACTTTTTGGCCGTAGAAATATCAGCAACTGCATCAGTTTGCATATCAGAAGCCTGACATATCAAATATGTCTCACAAACAAACATGTATGCAAACTTTTTTTTTGGCTAAAGGTACAATAAACTGTTCCATTTGGAACTGACTTTTATTTCATATGTCAGGCTTTACAGGGTTAAGAGTATGAAGCAAAAACTTGTATATATGAACCTTACGAAATCTTGTATATACTGTCTTTCTCATTCATTCTTCTGTTTTCTTGTTGTTTGGCAGGATATGGAACACTTTGACGGAGAACTACGGCAATGTGATGCCAGTGGACTGGAAAACCTCTCACACGCGTTCACTACACCTGCCCACGCTGAACCTCCGACCTCAGGAGGTGAGATCCGTCTGGCCATCCAGTCGTCCATGCATTTCTTTCAGTCAGTGCAGACAGAGCTCACACTGTATGTGTGTGTGTTTTCAGAGGGTGGAGGTCAATAATCTTGACGTGTCTGATGACGAGGAGCTCAGAGATCAGATGGACATGCACACCATCATCATCTCATGTGTGAACGAGGAGCCGCTGTTTACTGCAGAACAGGTGCAGTATATACACTCCAGACCTTTGAGACTATTTAAGTGAGGGCCAGTCAATGATGCAATAATAATTTTCATAATGATATTTGCTATACCTTTTCCTTGACACTAGGGTTGTGACGGTGAGGAAATTTTCCCACCGGTTAATCGACGTGTGACAACACCGGTAATACCGGTAACGCCGCGGGGGCGGGGGCGTTCCCTCTTTTCCTTGCTTTCCTTCGCTTTTAAATAGCTTGTAAAAGCAGCGTGCGCATTTTACTTTCACTTTGAAATAGCGGCAATTCGGAGTAAAGCAATTGTTAATTTTTAGTTTGTACTGAACTAAATGATTTTTATTTCTATAAAAAATCAAAACGACGGTGGGGGTCGGTGCCGCGGTGGGCAAGTGACGTAACCGGTGTTGCGGCTTAACACCGGTATCACCGTCAACACCGTCTATCGCGGCAAGTCTACTTGACACTCACTCCATAACCTGTGTGTTAATCAGGTCATAGAGGAGATTGAAGAGATCATGCAACAGTCTCCAGATGATGAGGATCACGAGAGTCCGTCTCGGTTTGATCTCTCCTTGATGTCGCATGAGTTACACACACTCACACACTCCACACCCAGCAGCAGCTACGAGGAGCGTAAGTACTGCATGTGTGTATTCACAGCTTTTTTGTCGGCCAACTCCATTTGACCTAAAATATTTACTTGAAGTAATTTTTAAGTTAATATTTCAATAAATTTAAATTTTTGCATGGTTCTCTGATGTGGGTTAATGGTGCATGCAGGTAAGCAAATAAAATATTTAATCTTTTTGTTGTTTTATTTTAATTTGTTTTTATTTTAAAATTATTTATTTTCATTTTATATTTAATATATTTGTATTTATTATTTTACATTATTTGATATTAGTTTTTCATCAACTCAGAATCCCCTGCAAGTTCCTTCATGATCCCCCACTATGGGAAACCCTGCCTTAGATAATTAAGTGTTAAATAATGATTATTGTATAAATATTAAGTATGGATTTTATCCAAGTCGATGCAAAAATATCATGTAATGATGCCAGTCTTTCTAACTGAACAAACATCAAAACAATAGAAAACTAGAAAACCTCTCACTGCTCTTAATGTTTGAGTTCTTTATTCCTGACAGTTTTCTTAAATAATTGTATAAAATGGTTACTTATATGAGCCTGTTGTACTTGTTTGCATGTTAATATTTTTCCCAAATGGCTGCAGAGGGTTTGTGAGTTGATCAAAAGTATTTAATTGATTGTAAAATGGTTATTTTTATATGATATTTTATTATATTACATATATTTATTTAAATTAAGAGGCTGCAGAATTAATTCATATCTTAAAGGAACACGCCACTATTTTTGAAAATAGGCTCATTTTCCAATGGAAAATGAGCCTATTTTCAAAAATAGTGGCGTGTTCCTTTAAATAAAATTGTGATTGTAAAATGTATAAATATACTTTTAGATATATAGTTTTCATATGAGATTAAATGTCATATTGCAGTTCAAATCGCAGTCATGATATGTGACCCTGGACCACAAAACCAGTCTTAAGTGTCAATTTTTCGAAAATTGAGCTGAATAAATAATTTTTATATGATATTTTATTATATTACATATATTTATTTAAATTAAGAGGCTGCACAATTAATTCATATCTTAAAGTAACACGCCACTATTTTTGAAAATAGGCTCATTTTCCAACTCCCCTAGAGAAATAATTGCAATATTTTTGGCCAAGTCATGCAGCCCCATATGTAGATAATTTAAAAATGAATACATAAATAAATAAAATGATTACTAAAAAATATTAAATATTTTATCTGTTTACTTGCATGCCAACTGACCATTAACCAAAATCAGAGAAAAGTGAACATGCAAATGTGTCAGTAAATTAAAATATTAACATAAATTCTCAGAGTGTTCAAGTAAATATTTTATGTCTGAGAGGTTCAGCTGATTAAAAAGGTTTGGGAACCCCTGCATTAGCATATTATTCTAGTTTATTTTGCCAAAATGTAAAATGGTAACTGTACTTTTGAGGGCTGTTATGTTGGAAGTTCACACGTATCTTTTATATCTTAGACAGAACTGGAGTGTCGAAATGAGCGTGTTATGAAATAACGGTGCTGTAGAAGTGGAAATGAGCTTGTGTTTGAATGACTTCAGACTTTGATCTTTTGGCTGGTCTCTGTCTCAGGCTTGCGTGGTCTGTGCGTGTCTGAGCTGCTGGAGCGTCTGGAGGAGGTGGAGCGACAGATCCGTGGTTTCTCTGAGGAGCTGATTGATCAGCTGGCAGTGAGGGAGGAGCTGGACTATGAGAAGGAGGTGAAGAACACGTTCATCTCGGCACTCATCCACGTGCAGAACCGACAGAAAGAACATCGAGAGCTGCTGAAGAAAAAGAGGAAGATAAAGACCACAGGCGCCGAACAGAGATCCAACCGCTTGCATGTGCCAGGAACCGTAAGGATGCTAATTACTCATTAGCAAGCCCACACAAAATCTACATCCGCAGAAATCTCCATAGATTTCAGTAGATCTGGAACATTTTCAAAGCTCTACACAAACCCTCGTCTGTTCATTTATCCAATAATTTGGCTGAATTCATAATGCTTTTAAATTTCTGTACTACTGCAGCTTCATTTTACACATTTTGCCATGTTTAAAATAATTCGGGGACAACCTAACCTTTTTCTCCAAATCAGCACAAAGAAATCTCTCAGATCTTAAACACATCTGTTCAATAAGAATTATGATTTTTTTTTTGTACATGTTTTGTAATCTTTGAAAAATTGGTTAAACAATCTATAAAAGTGGACTTCGTCGTTTATGTTTTTGACCACCTTTGTCTGTTTTTCAGTATCTGACGACGGTGATCCCGTACGACAAGAGCAGCGGAGCGCCGTCTGTAGAAGACCTGCAGATCCTGACCAAGAGTGAGTTTATTAACATCCCTTCAAAGTGATCTGATAACAAATGTACTTTAATTTTAATCTGACCACAAATGAGACTTTGGTCAGGCACTTGTGTGAACTTCAGATACTGTAACTTCGCACAATCTTTCAAACTGTAACTTGGAACAGTATAAATAATTGTGTCATTAAATATTAATTAATAATTTAAACATTTGATTTTGAATTATTTAAATATACAATTGTATTAAAAAATACAATAGGGCTGCAACTAATGATTATTTTGATAATCAATTAGTTGGCCGATTATTTTTTCGATTAATCGATTAATCGGATTGAGAGAAAAAAGCCCAATTTTCTTTCTTTTTCTTTTTTTTTTTGACAAAAAACATACTGATCCACATTCTGCCCAATGTCCTTCAAACAAATCTAAAAATGTTATTGTCATTTATTGGGCAAATAACAAACTGAAACAAATAGTATTTATTCACATAATAACAAAAATGGCCTCCTATGCTTTTCATAACAGCTTGCATTCTTGCTGGCATTGTTTAGGTACTTTTTGACTAATTGGGCATCTGGAAAAAACACTATAAAGTGCTTGACTATTTTTTCTGCCTTTCTTTCATAGACAACAGCAATATTTATATTACAGCATTAGAAATAGCCTACTATTACTAAAGAGCTTACACAAATTGGAGGACTAACCAACACAGAAAGCTGAAAAATGATTTTGGTAATCGCCAATACTGTTAGTTTAGAGCAGCAGTGGCACAAACCTTACATAATTTGTTAAAAACCTTACATACATTTGTTTTAATAAATTTGTTAAGCACTGTATATTGTGAATATAGTTTAAATCTCTACATTAAAAATGTAAAGAATAACGAAGACGAATAAAATCAGAAACTCAGTGGTAATTAATAGAATAATGTTCTGCAGGAACACACGTTCACTTTGATCACTGTCACATTTTACTGTCATTTCTTTATCCTGTAAAAGGAGGTTATGAAGCATCTGATATTTATATTCAGACAATTACACGCTGTTATCCCTTTACAGTTCCTACTCTCATAAAATGCGTGCACTACATGTTGACTTACCTAAAACCTAAATGTTCCTGTGGCTCAGTGGTAGAGCATTGCGTTAGCAGCGCAAAAGGTCGTGGGTTCGATTCCCAGGGAACACACATACTGGTAAAAAATGTATAGCCTGAATGCACTATAAGTCGCTTTGGATATTAAATTTACCGTTCAACAGATATTTCAGCACAATGAATGTTCTTGAGTTGAGTATTAATAGAGTATGTGAAGCTGACGTCACGCCGCGTTGAGTTCTGGGAAAGTTCTGCTTTGTTTATCCGCCATACTGAGAGCATCGCGCTGCCGTTCCGCTATTGAGTGTAGGGCAGTATTTTGATTGTCGTGATTGTGAAAAAAGTCACCATTATATGTAATTCGTGCTGCATCGAGAATTACAATAGTAACTCAGCTCATCGTTCTGAGAGAAAAATGGACAATGCAATATGTTTTTTACGCCTTTTCTCTGTGTAAAAACCCCAAGGGAAGCAGGTTGCGGAGATGACGAGAAGACGCCGTATAGTTAATCTATTAATAATGTCACTGGTTAAACCCACTGCCTGTCACTCAATAAAAGAATCACATTGCTGCGTATTTTTGAAAGTTTTGATTTTGTTTGGTTTAATAATTAACATCACCTTTGCGAATATGACTCTCACTCGCCTTGTGAATTAGCAGAACTTGAACAGGGACTTTATAAAATGCTTAACCGGAATAATGCTTCATGTGGCTTAATGTACTAAGACAGTGATAAAGACCGAGCTGTAAAGCATATACTATGTGCAGATACGTATGAGCCCAAAATATGAACGCAATGCGTTTATTTACACGTTAAGTGTTTTCCTCTCATATAACATAAAGTAAATGCTTAATGCACTAAGACAGTGATATTAAAAGACCACCTTCTGTACACACCTTACTATTAAAGCATACTAAACAGATGAACTTTAAATATAAGCGTTTTCAGTGTTTTTTAAAGGGAGGAAATGGCTTAACGTGTAATGAAATGCATCTTTTAGCATCACTGTCTTTACATTAAGCCAGCATTTTATAATGCCTTAGCTGTTCACAAGCTCCCAGGGATTTGATTTTAATGACATTTGTTGAAATAAATATAAAAAATATAGTGTGTTCGTGTCTGTCTGCTGATTGTGACCCACAATCTCCGATTCTCATCCGTGGCCATAGAAAAATTAATATTTACAATGACAGCAATTATACTTCGTCATTGAAAAGTTTCCAACAAACAAATGGATGGACTTCTGTCAGCTTGTTGAACACACTTTTATTTGGATACTCTACCATATGATGGCTGAAGCAGCAGCGAGCGACACTATTTTCACGCTAATCGGATCAACACTGTAAACCAAATTCTACATAACTTAAGTGAAAAATCTCATTCTCATGCGAAGCAATAAAATAGCTTTACTTCCCTGTAAATGATACAATGAAGAATGTAAATATTTAACTTCAAGGCAAAAACAAAAGATAAGTAGGTATCTGTATTAATTTCAGCATTTGTAGCAGAATGGCGGCGGCGTCCCAGCATGCAACGCGGCGTGACGTAGCGTCACATTCTCTATTGTCTCCCTCTCTACTGTGTTCCGTCTGTCTGACGCACCAGCGCTCATTCAGTAAAGATTTAAACTTACCACAGACTGTCAGGACAGGCCTTTATGCAAAAATGGAAATGCTTGCATGAATTTGTGACATTTACAGATAAGGATATGACCATAAACTGAAAGTTTTTGCACTGAGGATGCACACGCATCTGTCCAAGTGCCTGACAGGGCAAGCCATAACACTAATGCATCAAGTTAGTTTAAAGTTTAAAATAAAGAATTCCCATGTTTTGGGCAGCTTGGTTCACGTACTTCTCCTGCAGCATCACATTCTGTTTCCTCCAGTATTTTTAGATGCATTTTGTCCATAGAAATGCGTAATTCAGTGCTATAATTTGATGCGACCGGCTGAAGTTGGACCAAGCGGCAACCTTCCGGTCTCTCTCGTGAAGCCAACACTCGACTGGCCGCTAGAGGCTGGCTCCAAAAGGGAGTCAGTCCCATAGACTCCCCATGTTAAAATGCCCAACTTTACAGCAGAAAAAAGTATGTTTACAGCCTGGTACAAAAAATGATTTTGGTCTATATAGCTAATTTTGCCCTTCATGACAACTGTGAGGGGGTGAATTTTTTTATAACTCATCCGTTTAAATTATATTAAGCCTTAAAGTTCTGCATAATTAAGGGCGTGGTCACTTGAGTGACAGGTGGATTGCCGCTGCTGTCACCACCGTCGAGCTAGGTGGGTGTGGTTTCAGCAACCAGCTCCCGCCCATTTTCGATTATCCGGGAGTGACACACGGTGACGCGCTGCCAAAATGGCGACGGCCGGCTCCGCCCACTTTGAGCTTCAAAACCGCTCTTCGGAAACCCACGGGTGACGTCACGGACACTACGCAATACCGTTCAAAAGTAGTTTTTTTTTGTTTTTGGAAAGAAAGAAAATAATACTTTTAGCAATACTTTTACTTTTCAGCAAAGATGCATTAAATTGATCAAAAGTGACAGTAAAGACGTCACTTTTTTTATTTATTTATTTATTTTTTTAAATAAAAAAAGTTTTTCTTCTTCTGTGCTGTTCTTTTCAACTTTCTATTCATCAAAGAATTCTTTCAGAATCAGCAAAACTGTTTTCAACACTGATAATCAGAAATGTTTGTTGCATCACAGGAATAAATGATATTTTAAAAACAGTTCTTTTAAATTATTTTAACATAGAAAACCGTTATTTTAAATTAATAATATTTCACAATAGTACTGTTTTAACTGTAATATTGATCAAATAAAAAATAAATCTTCCTGACCTCAAACTTTTGAGCGGTATTGCATATTTGAATTCTATAAATTACTTTATTGTTATTATTATTATAATTATTTTATTATATTATTATTATTATTTTAGTTTAATAATGTTAAATCAGTTTTAAAATATGGATGTGGAAAATATTGAGGGTGTAAGTGTGTAGTGTTGTACATGTGTAACTGTCTCTGTGTTTCTCTGTAGTTCTTCATGCCATGCGTGAGGACAGTGACACAGTTCCTGCTCTTCTCACCGACTACATCCTCAAAGGTATCAGACAACTCAATCACTCATCAGTCTCCATCACTGTCAGTCTGAGCCTCATTGATCTTCTCTGTGTTTTATGTTTTATTTTTGCTCCCACTGCATTTGACCTCTAGCACTGGTGTGAGAGAACAGGTGTGTTGCTTTTATATATCGCTAATTATAATGACTACAGTCTAAAATGACAAAAAAATTTATTTATATGTCCCCAAAGGGATATTTTTTCCCTCGCTTCAGGAGATAATTTTGTATCTAAGCCATAGATAGGTAAACCCACCTAGACACACAAGTGAGTGTAAAATAGATTTTTGTCATCTGTGTGTGTGTGTGTGTGTGTGAGTGAGTAGTATTTGTTGTCTTCTCTGTGATGTGTGTTAGTGAACATTATTTGTCTCATAAGGAAGAAATTGCAGTGGTAATAATATGCAACATACAGCAAAACACAACAATATAAACTACTGCTCACCAAGGCTGCATTTATTTGATCAAAAATACAGTAAAATCAGTAATATTATGAAATATTATTACAATTTAAAACTATTGTAGAATATTGTAAAGTGTAATTTATTCCTGTGATCCCAAGCTGAATTTTCAGCATCATAACTCCAGTCTTCAGTGTCACATGATTCTTCAGAAATCACTCTAATATGCTGATTTGCTGCTCACTATTAAACAATTAAATGCATCCTTGCTGAATAAAAGTATTAATTTCTTTAAACCGCACACTTGCTGACCCCAAACGTTTGACCATCAGTGTAATATATTTCAGGCTTTTACTGATCTATTCTTTCATGTCTGTTGTTTCAGTGTTGTGTCCCACGTAGAGTTTCTGGAGCAGAAAAGCAGCTAATATCATCGGCACGTCGGACATCTGATCCTCTGCATCTCTCCAGATGATGTTCTTGTCTAATCATGCACAGAATTGCCCCACCAGTGGCATTTATTTCTCAGTCTGAATGTGTGTATTGTTTTGTGTAGATGTTATTGTGTGTGGGAGCTTGAGTGCAGTATTCAGTTTATTTCCGAATGCAGTTCACATTTCACTCACTGTCAGATTCCACTAGTTATCACAGAGCAGCCGTCATAAATCATGCACGTTTACATCATATTCAGTTTGTTTTAGCACAGATCTAGATGCAAGATTTCCCTCTTTTGATCTTTCCATCAGATGAAATGCGATTTCAGGAAGTTTTAAGCTGCTGATGGCTGAAAATCATAGAATGATTTCAAAGCAATCTCTTCAGCAAAGGCAGGTACATATATTTGTGTAGGAAAAGTTGATGTAGCTGCAAAATCGAAACGTTTATCATATCGGAATGAAATAGTTCAGTCATGCTGAACAGATTTAGTGGTACTTTTTTTAAAACACAACATTTATTTCATTGCCAGTTACTAGATTATCAAACTCTGTTTTTGTTCTGTTCGACCAGCTTTCTAACATTTCTCTATAACAGTATTAATATTGAGTTGATAAGGAGTGAACGGCACAAGTATTTGCTACCAGTTGAAGTGAAATCTGTGAGATCTCAGCAGTGGAGGAAGGACATGTTTGACTTTTATCAGATCTCTGGGCTGGATTTCTGTTTTAAACTAAGAAGAGCTGAAACACTTATAATTGAGAAACACGTCTGTCTGTTCTCACTAAGGTCCTGTAAGAAGATTAAATGATTGTCTCTGGTTTATTAGTTTTTGTTGAAACAGATTGGAAGTGATATTTTTGTAAGTGTGGCTATAAAAGCTGAATGTCGCTTTTTGATGAAGAGGTTGAGATTTTGTTGAGTCTTGTAGATGCACGACCTTAAAGCAATAGTTCACCGAAGAAAATGAAAATTTGCTGAAAATCTCCTCACCCTCAGGCCATCTAAGATGTAGATGAGTTTTTCTTCTTCAGAACAGATTTGGAGAAATGTTGCATTTCATCACTTGCTCACCAATGGATGATCTGCAGTGAATGGGTGCCGTCAGAATGAGAGTCCAAACATCTGATAAAAACATCACTATAATCCACACCACTCCAGTCCATCAGTTAATGTCTTGTTAAGTGATAATAATTGATTTGTTTCCTACAAAGACGCAGCATTTCACTTCACAAGATGTGTGGATTATTGTGATGTTTTTATCAGCTGTTTGGACTCTCATTCTGACGGCACCCATTCACATTTTCAGCTAATTTTCATTTTTGGATGAACTTCCTTTAAAGGATTATTTCACTGTAAAAACCTGTATGATTTTATTTCTTCTGTGCATAAAAGAGGTCCATAAGAATCATGTGCCATATTTCAAATCAGTCGTTTTTTATCGTTAATTTTTATTCCACGAAAGAAAGTCATACAGGTTTGGAACATGAATTAAAATTCTGAGTGAATTATTCCTTTAGACTGAAGCATCTCACATGTTTCTAAATCAGTCTGTTCTGTGGGCTGAAACTTATCAAAAGGTTCGATTAAAGGGTAGAAATAGTTTTCATGTTTGTAAAGCGTTCAGAAAGTAAAAGTGGCTGCATGCACTTTCAGTTGGTCTCAAAGGGAACGGTTTTGTAGAGCACGACGTAAGCGTGAAGCGTTGAACTACAGCTCTTGTTGGTGTCGTCGGGCGGTCGTGGCCTGATTCTGAGAAACATTAGCAGTGCACAGTAAATCAGGGTATAATAACTAGAGATTATATATTTATACAAGCAATAATGAACGTTGCCTTTTTGAATGCATGAAATTTTGTACATTGAAACTGACCTTATTTTTAATGCAGCATTAATGGTCCTTTTGAATTAGTGTTTTATAAGCAATGCATTGTATGTAGCAGGGCAGTTTTCCAATAAAAGCATCTGTTCATCAAGCTTGCTGTGCATTTGTGTCTTTCTGTAATTGTTTTTTTTTTTTTTTTACTATTGTCTTTAAGTGCCAGTCATGAGCTGGATTTCTGAAAATCTAAAAAATACAATACTTTAAGAAGTTAAAAGTTGCAATTATTAAAAAAAAAATCTTAAGTTCTGAGAGATTTTATAATATTTATGTCTATGTATAAAATACTTGTCATGGGGTTGCTTCACACTGGTAACTAATAAATGTGTTCATTAATTTTGTCTAAAGAATTGTCTTTTTTCTTAAGGCAAGACACCATTTAAAAAAAATTTAACTAATGGAAATCATCTTTCCCCAGTTTATTAATCAAAGTACAAGAACTTTTTTTACAATCTTTTTAAATATGCAAAATGTAATAAATGATCAAAATTATCATTATATGATCAATGATATAAATGATAAAATGTAATAAAGTGTAATGTAATAAACACTTAAAGCAACACTATGAAACTTTTTCTGTTCAAAATTTGCAAAATGTATATAATGAGCGAGTACATCATGAATTCATCTTCCAAACCGCATTTTTGTCTTATTCCGAATCACTACGGTACACTTATAAGTACTTATATTTGGACTATTGTAGCCTGGTCGGGTCGTCACCGCTGCGGAGTAACACATACCTGCGTGAATCGCCATAGACATAAACTTAGAGAAGTAGCTCCGGTTGGAATGTTCTTCCGCGGGATGTGTGCAGTTCTGTTTATTAACCGCTAGAGCGCCAAAAGTGACATAGTGCTGCTTTAATTTCTTTGGGATATTTTCTTTCCATTTGTCTGACACACGTACTTAGTATCTCAACATTGATCCGTGCATGAAAAGCAATAGTATTGGCTGTAGTCTTGCCTTAAGACTTAAGTATTTTCAGAATTCAAAATATTATGCGAGAAAGTAATAGCAGTTAAGAATTTCATTCTTAATGTTTCATGAATCCAGCCCTTGAAAATGAGCTGTTTTGAAAAAGAAAAAAGAACAAAAAAAAGTATTACTTTATTACTACAAAACTGCTGAAGTCCTTCACTAAGCATAGACCAAATATCAACTTCTGTTTAAATGTTATGGATTGTGACTTTTAACATAATAAATTTTTTGTTTTGTCTTTAATATCTTTAGGGTCTTGTGCTTAGTGCTAAGTTTTTGTTTTCAAATCAAAAATCAAAAGCAATATGTTTCAGCAAAGAATTAGCAGTTTTTTCTTTTTTTTTTGTCTGCTGTATAATCCGGTTTCCTCCTGCCGGTATCACAGGTACGAGTCCATAGAGTCTCAGAGCGGTTCTGAATTCACCAAAACAGCTCAGTTCTGAGATGATGTTTGGAGAAAGTGCTGATGGTGTGAGATGAGGGTCAAAGGTTGGTGTCGGTGAACATGGTGTGTTCCTTCCTGACTGTGCTGAAGCCTTTGATGGTGTCCACAAACTCCTCACCTTCAAACTGACAAACATATGACAGGTTATCAAAATCAGATTTCAGAAATAAAAGCATTTGTCCAGCAGAAGTAAGTGATGTTCTCACCAGGCCGCTGTCGAGGCGTCTGAAGTGCGGCTCCCATGATTCCTCGTCTTTCTTGTCGATGAGCTGGCTGACACTGCGCTGTAAAGGGTTTTGTGTGTACAGACCTGAGACCGTCACCAAACCATCCTCACCTTCAGCAGAACGATCCTCCTCCATCACTTTACTCTCAATCACCTCCTGAACAGCACAAGAACACGTGAAGAGGCTTCAGCTTTTAGAGCAATATCTTCCGACAGACCTCGTAAAATAAAGCTTTGCATTTACAACTATATTAATATTTCAAAATGGAAATACATTTCAAGATGAAATTAGCTTAAGTTTTAGATTTCTGTTCATTTAGATGTAGCACTTATTTTATAAATATGCTTAAAGCATGGTTATATCCTTAAACTAATCCTTAAATAAAACGAAATCCATAAAAATATGTTTCCATTACCTGAATTAAAATAAACATGAATTTAAATAAAATAAACTTTAAATCATTTCGCTGTTCCTTTTCAAAATTGGAGTTTCAAATGTATCATTTCATGATATATTACACATATTTATAACTATAAATATTTTTTTAAAAATGGAAAACGCTTACATTTTAGATTTACATGAATTTAGATCTATATTTATTTGATAAATGTTTATGTTTAAAGCAGAGCTACTGTTAAATAAAACTAAATCTGTACAAATTAAATTTTTTAATTAAAATTATGAAATTTATTAAATATAAATATTAAATATTAATATTAAAATATAAATAAATATTTATATATTTATATAAATGTATTAAATTTAAATTTAATAAAGTTTAATTATTTAATTATTTTATTTCAGTTAGTAAGGCAACAATTCTAAAATTAACATTTAGAAAAACTATAGAAATATTTGGGGGGGAAAAATACAAAAACACAACAAAATTATGAAATATTTTAAAACTAAAATGAAAACAAAAAAATATAAATAATAAAATCTAATAAAACATTACCAAAAACAATAGTACCGTGTCTATGATATTAAAACGCTGTTTTAAAGTTTTTTTGTACATTAAAATTGCACCTCCTGTTATCATGTGGTGATTATTTTTTCCCACTAGGCGCCGCTACTGCATGTAAATAAATGTCTGACCTCCATGTGCATGGTGAAGGCCTTCAGTGTGACGCTGTTCGGAGATCCCACCGTTTCTGGAACCGTGTCGAACTGTGAGGAACAAACCTGTCATTGTTATTTCACAGACAAACACCTTACCCTCAGAAGGATTTTAGGTGAGTTACAGGCCTCGTCGATTTCTCTTCTGACAAGGTTCTTTCAAAGTTATAAACAAACATTCCTCCAGTAACATTTATAGAACGTTGGTCAGAGTTATCAAGTAGTAATAATCTCAAAACATTGTTTATACATCAGGCATTCATAGTGGCGAAGATACGGGTGGGCCAATGAGTAGTTGGTAATTTTCCAAATGGATGTAATTTATTAAACGATAATAATAAATTAATTATTTCACTATAGCTTTTTATATTCGTCTGTAGTCCCACCCACATTGTTATGTTTATGACCTAAGGACATGAGCTCGTTTGAATGTATTGTTCAATTTGAAAGTTGAATGTGAAAATAGTGAAACAAACATCAGTCAGTCTTTTAAAAGTAGGCTAGGCTATATATTGGATAACCCAGTGCACCTAAGCTAATGCGCTTCCGGGTTTAGCGCTGCCGATTGAAGAGCATCAGTCAAGTCAAGTTTATTTGTACAGCGCTTTTCACGATACAAATCATTATTGCAAAGCAACTTTACAGCAAATTAAGTTTCTACAATATTTAGTGGTAGCTTATCAGTGGTGACTGTCAGTTAATGTACATATGGCAGAAATGTACGGAAAAATCAATTAAAGACGTAATAAAACAGACGATGAACACTATTAACAGCAATTATTATATGATACAATCAAACTTATAGCAAAATGTGGTAGTTATGAATGAAATCAGTGAATGTAATGTCTCAGTTTTGCATTATGTTTTGAAAACGGCAGCAGGTAGCCTAGATTTATGCTTTCAATTTGAATAGAAATCTTATACAGTACAGTTTGTTGATCTAAAATGGTAATTGTGCATTAACAGCTGTCATCCACATAGGTAAGCAAATGCGTGTCTGAACTTATTTATACAGTGCATTTTTTATTTTGGTCGCGCATGCGGACCTGCGGACCACTTATGTGCACCCCTGTTCATAACTAACAATAAAAGCCTTCATAACTTAATGGAAATGTGAGCAAAATACACAAGCAAAATGGTCAAAAATGTCTATTTATCGCATGTTTTCATAGAAAACAAATGGAATGCAAAAACTCGTTCTGTGTGAACGCCAGAGCTGGGTAGTAACTGATTACAGTTACTTGTAATTAGATTAAATTACATTTTAAAATACTCGTAATCGGACTACAGTTCCTTTTTATGGATTACATGATTACATATTATTTACACAAAAATGTATTCATAATTTATTGAGTCTCCCTAATTCCTCTTTTTCATCTTTTTAATTTCCTTTTCTGAAATAGCCCACCGCTTATATACAGTCAGAAAAACTTTTGGTTTTCTGGACCTTCACACAGAGATCAGTCATTAGTCAGGTGGCTACACAGCATTTGACCATTTCAAACACATTAAAATGCACACATTCACCAGTTTTTTGTCACCTGAACCTCTTTCACCTAATATATTTACTTGAAGTACACCTGAGATTTTAAAATAAATATTTTAATAATGAAGTATCACATTTGCATGTTCATTGGTTCTGTGAGATTGGTTAATGGTCACATGACATGCAAGTAAACAAATAAAATATTTAATTTTTCAGTAAGTGTTTTATTTTATTCATTTTAAAATTGTTTTAACTTAAAATTTTTATGATTTAATTAGCTTTTCATTAAACTCATGAACTCCCTGCAGCTCCTTCACAAACCCAGTTTGGGAAACCTTGATGTAATATAACCTAGTGTTTAATGCACTTCATGTTGTTGATAACAACAAATGCAATATACTTTCTTACTCTTTGTATTTTTTATATCAATATGGTACAAGATTATCCTATTTTAAATCAATATGATAAACGAGTTAGGTCGAAAGTAATCTAAAAGTAATCTAAAAGTAGTCTGATTATTTTACCTAAAATGTGTAATGTAATGGATTACATACTAACAATTTTTGTCCTGTAATTTGGAATCAGTAACGGATTATTACAATTTGTAAGTAATCTACCCAGCTCTGGTGTACGCTTCCTTGTATATTTCCTCAGACTTTTGGCATATGAGATATTTTGAATCTTTCCGCTTCCTAATCTGCACACTGTCCACATGCCTATTGAAACCTGCAAAGTGTAATATAAGGATGTTTTGGCCTCACCAGGTAGGAGTTGCTGGGTGGGTAAACGGCCAGCGGGCTGCGGTGCTGGAGCGGCACTGATACGAGGGGCGGCCGTTCTCGGGTGAACGGCGGTTTATTGAGAGCCTTCTGTAAAACTATAGCCAGAATGAGAGCCAGCAGCAATAGCACGACTCCAGCCATCAGCACAATGAACCACAGCTCACGGTAGAACGGCGAACCCCCCGCACCTGTGCCCAGCCGACCGCCGGCAGCAGTGGGAGGCTCCACACCTGAGATCACAGACAAAACAGAGCACTGCTTTAGATCTGATTGAAAGCACAGAGTATAGTTCCGTTATGACGCGAACGCTTAGCGCATGCGTACAACTGAACGCTCAGCCTTTCGACACATGCGCACTAGAAATGTTCAGCCTTGTTCAGTGTCTGCACTATTTCTTTCCAGAAGTTATGAGCGAAAAAAAAAAATACTTATAGCCAGGAATGAAAGTGATCCGCTGAACAACACACAAAGAAAGTTTAATTTACAGTGAGAAAATCAGTATCTTCTTTAAGGCCAGAGTTTCTGAGTTCCTGTCAGTGAGAAAACATTAAAATTATACATACATACATACATACACACACACACACATATATATATATATAGTGGCGTGAAAAGGATTTTGCCCCCGTCCTGTTTTTTTTTTTTTTTTTTTTTTTTTTTTTTCTTTTAAATCATTATTTCAAAACTGCATTTTGTATTTACTCGGGTTATCTTTGTGTAATATTAAAATTAGTTTGATGAACTGAATCTTTTAAGTGTGACAAATATGCAAAAAATTAAAAAAACAGGAAGGGGGCAAATACCTTTTCACGGCACTGTATATATTGCAATAAAACTTGCCAAGTTACATTAACAGATTGTGACCCTGGACCACAAAACATAAGTAGCACGGTCATAAGTAGTCATAAGGTATATTTGTAGGGACAACTTTAAAGGTAATTTTCTCAATATTTTGATTATTTTTTCAAATAGTTGTATCTCGGCCAAATATTGTCCTTTCCTAACAAACCATACATCAATGGAAAGCTTATTTTGTCAGCTTTCAGAGGAGATATAAATCTCAATTTAAAAAAAAATACAAATTTCCCAGGAGGACTTGAACACACCAAATCACACAAGTGATTCACAGTGTATGCAGTACTCTATTCAGTGCTGATAAGAGGCTCTCTAGTTTCACAGAGGATCCGTCCTGATCTTTCTTAGCAGTAATCACATAGCCAGAGATCTCCGCAATGAGACACGTTTGCTCTCTCTCTCTCTTCCAGATGAAGATGTTAGATAGTTGTCCTTAATCATGCTTTTTAGCATTTTTATGAAAGCCAATTTTTATCAAATAAATAAATAAAATGATAACTGTGACTTTTTATCTCACAATTCTGACTTTTTTCTCACAATTGAAAGTTTATATCTCAAAAAAAAGGGGGAAAAAAGTCAGAATTGTGAGATTTAATATCAGAGTTAAGAGATAAAAACTCAGGTTTGATATAAACTTCAGAACTGAGATAAACTCATGTGAGAAAAAAGTCTGTACTGTATATACTGTAAAGTCTATAATGTATACTTTATATTACTGAACTGTAATATAAACTCAGAGTTTATATCTCAGAATAAGTCTAAATTGTGAGTTATAAACTCAGAATTGTGAGACATAAAATCAGAATTTTTATTTCCTAGCAGAAACCAGGTTTGATCTGATGGACTGATGTTTTCTTCTCTTTATTTTAGTCCAAATGACGCACAGCACATGTGCAAAATGTTTTATTTATTGATGCAAACAGAAACATCTATAAATCATATGATAAAGCTGCACACATCTCATCTGTATCCAAACTCAGAGGTCAAATGAGCAGCATGTCATAAAACAAAAGTTACGATAAGAATAACGTCACAGAGAGACAGGAGGAGTTTTACTCACTGGTGTCTGTGTCCGTGGTTCCTCTCATGGGGGGTTCAGGGACCCCAGAAGTGTGTGTGACATGAAACGCGGCCCTCAAACATCAACCGTGAGTGCTGACCTCAAACATTTTACAGCTGTACATTCAGAAAACACTTCTTCAGTGAAGCTGTTTGGTCTGTGCAGTCGCTTCAAGGTGAGCGTGTGTGTGTGTGTGTGTAAGGTGTCTCTGCAGCTGTAATTGTACTCCAGAGCTCTATGGTAACAGGAGGTGACAGAGAGATCAGTTACCACAGTAAAACCATGTCATTATGATATGACTCAGTGAACACAAACTCTTTTTACCTGCTACACACTTTCTGTCTCACTCACACTTTTCATCCTCAGACGGGATTTCTAAACACTAAAGAAACCGAGTTTAACCCTGTTACTGGCCTTATGATGTTTCGAGAGATCACAGATTAATATGTGCAGTATATATATATATATATTTTTTTTGGAGCTGACATCTTTTCATTTCACCACATTCATCACCTGTAGCATTTTCTTTGTAATTGTAAATTAACTGAAGTTATGTAATAGTTGTCAGAATTTAATTTGCTTAAAAATAAGCATGAACTATGAAACTGAAACATGAAAATATGAAAAGGTTAAAACCAAGAAGAGCATAGAGCAACTATTACACAAGACATTTGAGACTTGGTTTGGACAGTTGACAGTTTACCAAATCTGACAAAAATTATTATATGAATTAAAAAACTAAGCAAAAAGAAGCATATTGCCAATCAGAAACATTGACGTGTTTGGCAATAAAACAGCAACTTCTGTTGGACTTATGCTAAACGGGGTTATTGTTATTAACTAAAACCATTTAAAAAATAATTATTTGAAATAAGCAATAACTGAAATAAAATAAAATATAAAAAAGCTCATTTCAGCTAATTGCCAAGGCCACATTTTTCTTTTTCTTTTTTGTTTAAAGTAGCCTACTAAAATAACAAGCCTATAAAAAAAACTTAATAAAAACAAATAATAAATAAAATGAACAAACAAATAAAATAAAGTAAAAACAAAGTTACTAAAACTTCAGCCAAAAGTAAAATGAAAATGTGGTTTGATGTAGTGGTGTATTTTCACCACTAGAGGCAGTGCAGATTAGCGCGCAGATCATAGATATCTAATGCAGTTTAACCGATCAAAACAAACAAAGAAACAAAGGCGTAGTTCGATGACGCCGTGACTGAGTGTGGAATCATGGGAGTTGTCAAATTAAAATGAATATATAAAAATGTATTAGAATTAAAAATAATAACAAAAACAATATAACAGTATTAATACTAACATAAAACAATATTTTCAAGGCAATATTTTTGATTGCTTGATTGATGTGCGTTCAAGCACAGTGAGTGAATATTGTGGTTTGATGTAGTGGTGTCAAAACGCATAACATATTAAAGTGTATTTGGTGTTTCCAAATCGGAAATCGAGGGGTTATGACGTCATTGGCAGGCGACACAATGACACTAGAGACACGCTTCGTGTCACTAGTTAAAATTGCTTATTTCTCTGGAATTTAAACATTCTTCGAAACATTTGGGATAATGTAAGTACACAAGTCAGCAAAATATATAACACTGTTCTAGTGGTTTTTGGATATTTTGGATATTTTAATTAAAAAATCGTACATATTGTGCCTTTAAAGAAGTAGCCTAATCATCATTTCAACGATTTTTGAAAAATTTTGCCTTAACGTTTACGAATCACATTTACTAGTAATTTCATCAAGTATTAAACTGAAATATTCATGAGACATAATCAATCTGCTGACACATGATCAGATATATGAGGCCACTGGATGAGTCCGTTCCTGACGCTCATCATATCAAACCGAGCGGATTTCATTTATCATGACGCTGAAATGCTAATCCATTAATTCCCTGCTCAGCATTCATGTTTCGCCCGGCCGCGTTTGAGACATCGAGGCTTTATTAGTGAATTAATGCACTCCGGGATAAAATCATCTGCAGATGTAATTAATCACAGACTGACTCACTTACAGCCTGACAGAAACAGAAAGCAGCACGATGAGCTCCTCTCCTCTCAGCGGTGCTGTTTGCTAAATCAGCCAGCAATGTTGGGGCTTTTAGAATAGCGGTTTTCGATTTACTAGTAAAAATAATGATCTACACACATAAATCATTTTAAACACTGCACTATTACATGAAAATAAGACCCACTTTAGGGTCTCTTGCTAAAGTTTTGACCTAAAAATTACACACCGACTTCATTATCCTGAGTGTATATAGGATATATTACACACACACACATTATATATATATAAACACGCACTCAGGATAATTAAGTCTAATTTTTAGGCCAAAACGTTAGCAAGAGACCCTAAAGTGGGTCTTATTTTCACGTAATAGTGCAGTGTTTAAAATGAATTATGCATGTATATATGCGTTGAATTCTATAAATATATATATATATAGTAAAACCAAAAATTATTCAGACACCAGATATAATTTTTTAAATATTTTTTAACTAGTGGGTGCAGGACACTACAGTTCATTTATGTAAGTGAGGATAGCAAAATAAAGTAAACTGTGACATATTATACCCAAAAATTCTTCATACAGTGGACTACCAGTAAAATTTATAAAAATTTGGGACCAAAAATTTATCAGACACTTTGACCTGATCATGTTTTGCTTAAGTGGTTTTCTTTAATTGCTAATGCGACCTTTTTCCACCACAGACTGAACAAAATTAAGCATTGCTTGGTTATTGGTTGAGCTAAATTGGTATTATCTAATTGTGTACTTAAATTTAACAGCTGACAGCTATTCAACCGAATTCTTTACATACCTTTCTGTCAAAGTTATCTGACATTATCAAGATGAATTTGTTCTGACAGTTTAACTCGGAGTTCTTGTCATATTTTATTACCATTTTCTAAACTATAGCGAATAAGCTGTGATAATGTGAAAAATGTTGAAGGTGTCTGAATAAATTTTGGTTTGACTGTATATATATATATATATATATATGTGTGTGTGTGTGTGAGTAGGCCTGTATACACTTAAAAATAAACTTCAATTTATGCAAAATACTACTTTATAAAAAAAATTAACTTCAACCAAGGTTATTTTACAACTGTCCATCTCAGTGTATTGTTATTGCATTGCAAGTGTCATAATAATTTAAACACTTTATACAGTATTATGTAATATTTGTTATTATAAGCCACGCTTAAAACACTCAATTTTACATTTCACGAGGCTCACTTTTTGTCCAAACAGGGTCCCAGGCCTGAAAAAGGTTAAAAGCGGTGAGTTTTGAACAGACATGCACAACTCAAAGTCTTCATAAAATATAAAAAATAGCCCAACTACAAAAAGATAGTGATAGTCTCAGAAATTCAGAGCAGGATCTGTCCTGCAAGCTCAACACACACACATTCTGTTAGCAGTGTTCTTCCAGTGTAAGCAACTTTTATCCGAGCCTCATTAATGACTCGCGTGGCGTCTCTCAGTGAGGAGACACTAATGTGTTGATGGTTTCTGACGGCCTGTGAAATTATGCAGGTGGAGAATCTGACAGCCTGCTAATTTATCTGCATCGATTAGCTTGATTATTCATAGACGTAAAGCTACAACAGCCATTACAATTATCTCTCTTTCTCAGAGAAAAAAGTCCTACAGAAATACACTGAGAGAGGAACTTGAGACGGATCTACAGACCAGTTAACTATCCAGAATACCCTGGTAACCACCTAAAATACTCTATTAACACCATGGCGCATAGCCAAAACACACCGGATCCATGATATCTAACACAAAGTAATTATTTATTTTAATTCATTTTACGGTACATGAATATTTACTAATCTCCGTGTTTGAAGTCAAATATATGCTTGTGTATGTTTATTTATATTTGTCATGCAGTACTTGATTTCAAAAGAAAACAATCAGACTTCCATAATCTAATAAATAATTCGACATTTTGTGTTTGAACACAAATGAACGTGATGCAGCTCATAAGCTGAATAATTTTTGTGAATATAACCCTGAACGGTGTTTGCTTTCCAAACAGAAGTGTTTTAATTCCCGCTGGGAAAAAAACATCTCAAGTCTTCAAATCACAGATGAAAAACACACGCCAGAACAAAAGTGAAGTCCACTGTTTAATTCATTATTGTTGAACATATTTGTAATTTTTGATATTTAAGAAAAAAAGTTATTGCATATAATCAAACAGATACTGAGGAGACAAAATTAAGTGTCATACAACATCCACAAACCTTCACAAGCAGAAATGGTGAAAAACACACACAGAACGGTAAATAACACGGGCAGAATTCCTCACAGAGACTGAAGGAAGAACGTGTCAGATGTGACTATCACACACAGTAGAGATCAGTCTGCTCTGTTATTCATATTTACAGACACATTTCTCTGTATCTCACATAGATGCTTGGATCTTGTATCTACGGTTTCCTTTGTTACCGTAAACATATTAAATGTATTATCTGAACATCAAAAAGCCCGTATCCGCCACAGGATAAAAAAAAAAAATAAGAAAGGTTTTCTTATTTTATTTTCTTATTTCTTAAAAAATGTTTATCTCACAAGTCTGACTTCTCTCCCAGAATTGTGAGATATAAACTCACATTTGCGAGAAAAAAGAACTGCAAGATAAAAAGATTGTCAAATAAAGTCAGAATTACAAGATATTTATATTAAAGGGTTAGTTCACCCAAAAATGAAAATTAGCCCATAAATTACTCACCCTCAAGGCATCCTAGGTGTATATGACTTTCTTCTTTCAGACCAATCCAGTCAGAGTTTTATTAAAAATAGTCTTTGATCTTCCAAGCTGTTTAATGGCAGTCAGGGGGTGTTGCATTGCTTCAGTCCAAAAGCAGTTAAATAAAATGCGCCCATCCATAAAAAAAAAAGTGTCTCACACGGCTCCGGGGGGTGAACAAAGGCCTCCTGTAGCGAATCGATGCATTTTTGTAAGAACAATACCCATATTCAAAACGTA